ATAGTATTTCCGGATGTTAGCAAAGAATCGGTCCTTTTCTTGTTTTGACCAATTAATGGGAAGTTTGCCGGTTACAAGATAATTAACAATGTCGGCGAACCAAGGCAACGTCCCATTTGAGATTTGAAAGAGTTGTTCATCCGGAAATGATTCATGAATTTCAAGATTTGGAGAAGATTCAACCATTAATCTAGACAGATGATCGGCAGCGACATTGTCGGAGCCCTTTTTATCCTTGATTTCAAAGTCAAATTCTTGAAGAAGTAGAATCCATCTTATCAAGCGAGGTTTGGTTTCCTTTTTCATTAAAAGATGCCTAAGAGTGGCATGATCGGAAAACACAATTACCTTGGATCCTAAGAGATATGACCGAAATTTATCAAGGGCATATACTACGGCAAGTAACTATTTCTCGGTGGTAGAATAGTTCAATTGGGCACCTGAGAAAGTCTTACTCGCATAGTATATAGCATATGGTAGTTTACCTACCCTTTGCCCCAAAACAACACCCCATTGCGAAGTCGGAAGCATCACACATAATCTCAAATGGTAAGGACCAATTTGGAGGTTGCATGATAGGAGCGGATGATAGAAGAGTGCGAAATTGATGAAAAGCATTTAGGCATGCTTCATCAAAGACAAATAGAGTCTCCTTGGCAAGAAGGTTACACAAGGGTCTAGCAATTTTGCTAAAGTCTTTGATGAATCGGCGATAAAAACCGGCATGTCCTAGAAAGGAGCGGATTTCTCTCACCGTAGTAGGTGGAGACAATTCAGAAATTAGCTCAACTTTTGCTCTATCTACTTTTATTCCTCTTTTAGAGATGACATGTCCAAGCACGATTCCTTCTTGAACCATGAAATGGCTCTTTTCCCAACTTAACACAAGATTAGTCTCACGACATCTTTGAAGCACTTTTTTAAGATTTTGGAGACACGAATCAAATGAGGACCCAAAAACTGAGAAGTTATCCATGAAGACTTCTAAATACTTCTCCACCATGTCCGAAAAAATTGACATCATACACCTTTGGAAAGTGGCAGGAGCATTGCACAATCCGAAAGGCATCCGTCGATAAGCAAATGTACCGAAAGGACATGTGAATGTGGTCTTTTCTTGATCCAATGGATCTAAGGCCACTTGATTGTACCCCAAGTAACCATCTAGGAAGCAATAGTATTGTTGCCCAGCCAATCTTTCCAAGATTTGGTCAATGAAAGGCAATGGAAAATGGTCCTTCCTAGTGGCAGAATTCAGCTTTCGGTAATCTATGCAAACACGCCATGAAGTGGCGGTGCGTTTCGAGATGAGATCACCCTTAGCATTTTCAACAACTGTGATTCCTGACTTTTTGGGAACCACTTGAGTTGGACTAACCCATTTGGAATCAGAGATAGGATAAATGATTCGTGCATCTAGAAGTTTCACAACCTCCTTCATGACAACTTCCTTCATATTTGGGTTCAATCTCCTTTGAGCATCCCTAAATGGCCTTTCATCCTCTTCCATGTGTATGCGATGCATACAAATAGAAGGGTCAATGCCTTTTAGGTCAGCCACACTCCATCCAGTGGCTTCTTTGTTAGTTTTAAGCACTTCCAAAAGATCATTCTCTTGGTCATTTTCAAGATTGGAAGCAATGATGACCGGAAAAGTCTCTTTTGGGTTTAAGAAGGCGTATTTCAGATTTGATTGAAGAGGCTTAAGCTCAAGAATAGGAGGAAAGATGAGAGATGGAACTGGTGGAGTATTAGAGAGTGAAGGAAGAGGTTCCTTCTTGCTTTTCCAAGGTGGGTAATCCAAAGTGGCCACAGAGTCCATCAAAGCATTCACCTCACTTATGGATCCTTCTGTGTCAAAACCACAACTTTCAAACATTTCACAAAGGCATGCCTCAAGAGGGTCCTTAGATAGAATAGAGGGAAGAGTCTCCTCTATGGTTTCATCCAAGACATCCACTAGGAAACACTCGTCTTCATCTGTGGGATGTTGACTCGCATTGAATACATTAAGCTTAACCATCATGTTGCCAAATGAGATATCCATAATGCCAGATCTACAATTAATGGTGGCATTGGCAGTGGCAAGGAATGGCCTTCCTAGGATGACTGGAATGTGATTGGTGAGATTAGGGACTGGCTCAGTATCTAGTACCACAAAATCAACCGGGAAATAAAATTTATCAACCTTAATTAGAATGTCCTCAACAATTCCCCTTGGTTTTTTAATTGATCTATCGGCTAGTTGGATGACTACCGATGTTGGCTTCAAGTCCCCTAATCCTAATTGCAAGTAAACAGAGTATGGAATGAGATTGATACTTGCACCTAAATCAAGGAGAGCTCTACGAACCTCTTGGTTTCCAATAACACAAGAAATAGTCGGAGCACCCGGATCCTTGAACTTAGGAGGAGTGTTAGAAAGAATGATGGAACTCACTTGTTTTGTTAAAAGCACTTTCTTAAGGTCCCTTCCCTTGCTCTTCCTCTTTTGTGTGCACAAGTCCTTCAAGAACTTTGCATATGGTGGAATTTGCCTAATTGCATCTAGAAGAGGAAGATTGATTTTCACTTGTTTAAACACTTCCATCATATCATGAATTTTTCCTTCTTGTCTCCCAAA